CTTCTCTTGAGAATTTCAATCTCAGAAATAGTATTTGAGAGAGCATCTTTTTTCATATTAACTGAGTGTATTTTTGAACTTATTATTCTCACTCAATGAAAAGTTGATCAGACTGTTTCAATTGAGATATTTCTAAGTCTGTTTTCAATTGAAAAGTTGATCAGACTGTTTCAAAAGAAGAATAAAAGACTTTTATATATAAAATACCTGATTTTTTTCACACTAGTTTAGTAACTAGATTAGATTTTTGAAGAGAATCTAATAAACTAAAATTAATTTTTAAGATAAATCAATAAAATCTTTACAATCTCTTTCTTGAGATACAGTGAGAAAGAGTATGATATCAATTGATAATGAATCAGATAATATAACAGTTTTTAAGAGAAAAACTGATAAAAAATAAATCAATTTTTTACAGAGAAATTAATTAAAACTATTCAATTTTATTCTAAATTATTCAATTCTTCTCACACAATAAGTGTGCAACTCAAATCAGTTAATAAAGAGTGTAAAAAAGAATTAAGTATTAATAAAAGCTCTTCAGTCACTGAAAAAGTAATTCTTACTTAAAAGAATATGAAATTATGACAGAAAACAGCTCTGTTTTTAATTCTTTGTAAGAATATTATATAAAATTCAGAGAAAAACATCTTACTTTTTCAAGAGAAGTAAAATACTATTTCTAAGATCTTTTTTTTTTTTTTTTTTTGCATTAACTGCTGTAGAAGAATAAGATAGAAACTGCTAAGATATATACTACTATATACTCTCTATCAAGACTTTCTCTCTTCAGAGTCTTGATATTATAGAGAATATAAGTCTGTTTCTATATAATAATATAAATATTATCAGCAGAATGTAGAGAAACTGGTTATTTATATCTTAAAATAGAAGACTTTGTCAATGATTATATTAATATAAAGTTAATTCTTAAATTTAATAGAAATCTAGTATTACTGTTCTCAATTTCTTACAGAATCTATTGAATATTGAGATATTAAAACTAGATTTAATATATCTCACTGTACAGAGATCAAAGGCTCAGTCAGATCTTGAGATATACTGATTTTATAGTTATTGATGTGCTGTTGACTCATTGTCTGCTGATTATGTATTCAATGCTGTTACTGAGATATCTTTTTGTATTATTCTGTCAGAAATGAGTCAGATTGAGAGAAATAGTACAAGGGTGAGACTTGATGTTGAAGTCTAGATACACTGACAACAGATTATGAAGATTGCACTTCAGAAGTGTTCATTGATTATATGCTTAATATTATTACTGAGGTATCTTTTTGTATTTTTCTGCCAGGGATGGGCCAGATTGAGAAGGATGATACAAGGGTGAGACTTGGTATTGATGTTTTGAAACATCAGAGATGAACAGGGTTTTCGCAGAGATTGCTTCTCAGATATCTTCACAATTACAGATTGAAGATCTTTCAAAATCAAGAAGATTGATGTATATGACTATGTCTCTTCATCTTACAATTTGTATGACACTTTGGCCTGGGGTTGTGATGTGGTAGGGATGAACAGGGGATAATCCCACACGGGAGTTTCGAACAACATCTAGTTCACATTTGGCTGGATATCTCCACCACCACACGGGGTATCCGGTCGGCGATGGGGTCAAAATGCTCGTATGATCGAGGGCCTTTCGATGGATCTATTGGCGGGTTCTTATTCGAAAAATTGAGCGAGTTCGTGGTGGAGCGGTGTGTTATACATAGTCAATGTTGATAAGAAGAATGATAAAGTGAAAGAAAAGAAGAAGAAGAATGAAAAGAGAAAGAAAGTTAAGAAGAAGAGCTTATTCAAGAAATGCTCTGTGACTGAGAATACAGAGACTAGAGTCTTGAAAAAACAGATAGCAAGTGTTAAGTTAATTGACAGTTATAATATTAAGATTTTAACTCTTCATATTGAAAATGAGACTCTGTATAAGAAGAATACAGCTCTGAAGATTAAATTCAAAACTATTATAAGCCTTCTTCAGATTATTCAAACTGTTTCTGAGAATGATATATAAGCTGATAAGACAGAGCAGAGCAGAATGAGATGTTTTTTATTTTTTTCCTTACTTAGTTAGCTGAGGCTTTTGCACTGAAAAATAAATCTTTATTTGTTTTTACAGTTATATTTCTTCTATTATTATTAATAATAAGCTGTAAAATTAATCTTGCAGAGTTTTCTGTTTTGAGCTTAGCTTTACAACATCTTTGCACACAGAGACTTGTGTGTATTAAGATATTTTTTATTCTTTTATTACACTCATATGCAAGCGGAGCTTATAATGAGTCCTTGCGTGATGTTAAATACAGGCCAAGTGTTGGTTATACAGGAGGAAAATACAGGTGTAAAGACCATGTCAAGATAACAAGAATATAGAAAAATACAAAGAAGTGACAATTAAATACATGTGATAATAACTTCCCAGCTCAGAAAGCGATTTTATTAAAGTACACCTCTGTATTTATTAGAAACCTGAGATGCTTAGGTTTCAGATTAATGTATTCCCTGCGGTTTCGAACTCACACATCTTGATTTTTCATGTCAAGGCAATTCCAGATGGCCGCATTAACCATTCAGTCACTGAGGCTATATGAAAAGCTGCAATGACCTGTATAGATAGTCATCACTTATTAAGCAGGTAATTACAGCTTTAATTGCTGCAATTGCTGCTACTGTAATACAATAAAACATTTTTTATAGAAATGTAATATAATCTATCTCTGCAAAGATTTAATTCTTTGTTTATAATTTATATTAATTCTATAAATCTTCTGTTTTCTTCTGTATAAACATAGTTGCAGATTTTCATCAACTAACCGCTTCATCATGAACTCGCTTAATTTTTCGAATAAGAACCCGCTGATAGATTCATTAAAAAGCTCTTAATTATACAAGCAGTTTGACTCTATCACTGACTGCATACCTCATGTGATGATGAAGTTATTCAGTCAAACATGAACCAGATATTGTTCAATACTTCTGTGTGAAATTATCCCCTTTTCACTTCTATCACATCACAACTCCAGGCCAAATTGTCATATAAAGTGTAAGATGAAGAGACCTAGTCATATGCATCAATCTTCTTGATTTTGAAAGATTCTTAATCTGTAATTATGAAGATATCTGAGAAACAATCTCTGTGAAAACTCTGTCTATCTTTGATGTTTCAAAACATTAATATCAAGTCTCACTCTCATACTGTTCTTCTCAATCTGGCTCATTCTCAGCAGAAAAATATAAAAAGATATCTTAGTAATAATATTAAGTATATAATCAATAGATATATCTGAAGTGTAATCTCTGTGAAAACTCTGTCTGTCTTTGATGTATCAAGATATTAATATCAAGTCTCATTCTTGTATCATCTCTCTCAATCTGACTCATCTCTAGCAGAAAAATACAAAAAGATATCTCAGTAACAGTATTCAATACATAATCAGTGAATAATAATATATTAATAACTATAAAATCAGTATATTTCAAGATCTGACTGAGTCTTTAATCTCTGCACAGTGAGATCTATTAAATCTAGTTTTAATATCTCAATATTTAATAGATTCTGCAAGAAATTAAGAACAGTAATATTAGATTTCTATTAAATTTAAGAATTAACTCTATATTTGTGATTCAAAGATTGCTTAAGCCAGCGTACAATTACAGGCGTACGCGGGCTTCTTATATACATTATCTAAATTAATTAGTGGCCGCTAGGGCCTCTTTACATTTGTAAGTGTGTTCAGAAGCAGCTGTGTTATTATTCAGTGATTGTACATTCTTTCAAATCACATTCTCTCTCATCAGATTCAGTCATGCTCATATAATCATGATGTAAGCTCTAGCCTCATGCAGATTAGTGTGCTGCTAGTGTTTGTAATTGTACAGTCTATCTCTGATTCAGCTAGCACTTCTTATATACTCTCACAAAGAAACTTTCACTATATTGCATTACTTATTCACTAACTTTTTTCATTCTTCAATTATCTTCTTCATTATCATTATCATTGAACATTATCATCTTATTCAAGATTTCTGTCTCTTCTTCTATTCAATACCTTCTATCTGTTTATCTATTATATTATACACATTTCTGATAATAACTTCTCATTCTCATAACAAGCATCATCATAGTGCTCATATCAAACAGTTTGTTAGTAGTAAGTGTAATGTGTTATAAAACATGACTGAGACTTGTTTATCTTCTAATAATTATCAGAATGTACTTTCATAGATGACACATCTTCTTCATCTTCTTATACACTCTCAATTAGACTGGCCGCCGGGACCATGAATTTCACGTTTGATCCCATTTGATCTGGTCCCATACATTTCTTGGCGTGAATCCCGCTGGGACTGGCTATCAAAAAAACATGTAAAGTGACTATATATCAGATCTTAAAATGGAACCATGACTTGAAAAAAATGAGAAAGTGGTTCCATTTGGTCTCATTTAGTCCCATTCTTGGCATAAAGTTACTATTTTTAGACATTTTAAGGTTTTTTTTAGACTATTTTTAATTTTTTAAAAAGTAACACCATTTGATAACACTCAAATGAGATTTAAAGTCATTTAAAGTAATAAAAATAATTTAAATTGAGAAGTGGAAATCATGGTCTCATTTGGAAAATGTGACAAGAGTAGACAGTAAGTCTCACTGAGACAGTATGGGACTACTATCTAATGTTAAAACTGTGTAATGGGATCAGTCGAATTGGTAATGAGACTATCAAAAAATCTGGTCCTGGTCCCAGACACGGTCACACGGTCAGTCTACTCTCAATCATTTTTCTTCTCATCAGGCTTCTGATCATATTCTGTAGCATGATTTAATGTAGACATAGATGCTGATATATTTGTTTTTATTTACATAGAATCTTCACATATTGACAGATCTGTGTCTGCTCATAACAGTAAATATCTCAATGTTGAATCATTGATTGAGAACTTGAAGAACATGATAATAAAGAAATTGTCTGTATCATGTGTGATCAGATCTCTTACATCTCTCTCTATCTCTTCTACTGCTGTTTCTCCCTCTGTCACTTCTTCTCAATCTTCTACTCTTGCTTCTTTTTCCAGTTCTCTCACTTCTGCTACCTCTGTTCCTGTGACTCTCACTTCTGCTACTTCTGCTCTCTCTGTCTCTACTGCTGCTTCTGCTTTCATTATCAGCTCTTCTCATTTCAAGGAGATATTATGTAGACTTGATGAACCCTGTTTCTCAGTGTGTACACTCTCACTCTGCTTATCAATCTCTAGAACAATTTATTACATGAAGACTGTGTACAACATAACTATTTAAAGCTCAGTCACAGACATTAATTATTACATTAATTTTAAATATTTATAATAAGATAATTGTTCATTTATATCAGAGAATCACTCTTCTCTTTAATAGTATTAAGATTGTAAGTCTTTTCTTTTTTCATCTTTTCTTTCTGACACTGATTTTTCTGTTCTTAGAGAAAATCATTATGAGTTTTATTATATATGAAGTCATGATATTCACAGACACTAAGAAACTTTTCATAACTGTTAAATTCAATATTATGAGTACATCTGCTCTGATAAATTTCTTTAAGATAATAGATCTGTATCAGTCTATTCTCTGACATCTATCATCTGACTTTATAATGCAGGTGAAGAATATTCATATTTTCAGAAATAGAAACACAGATATTATACTCTTTTATATTTATAAGTATGAGACTTGTACATCTTGTCTGAGATATTATTATGAAAATGAGCTGTTCACACACTGTATTCTGCATTCTGCATTCTCTCATATCTCTCTCTCTCTTTCTGAGAAGCCTTGTATGTGTTGTAATTATATATACAACTCTAAGACCAGTAGATGTTCATTCAGTAACTGTTCTTATCTCTGATTTTATGATTTTTATACACTAATAATGATTCTTAGTTGCTCTGATGTCATAGATTATTCTAATTGAAGATGATCACACTGCTGAGACTATCTTCTTTTACTTTCAAGCTTCTCTTATTATTTTCTCTCTCTTCTCTGCAGAGAAGATTGTGCATACACTAAGTTATAAGTGTTCAGCTCTGAGTGACTCTCACTGTTATTCATCTGATTCTGTATTTTCTTCTTCTTTCATTTCTTTCATCTTCACTCTCTCTGTCTTAGCTTCTGATTCTGCAAGTTTTATACTCTTCTTCAATTTTTCTACACACATATGTATGCATTTCTATATTAGCATTTCAGCCAATCTTGTGATAAATGACATTAATGTTATACATAGAGTGATAGAGAAATCAGAGATATGCATGATATTATTATAAGAGCAGCTTGCAGCTCTTGAATCTCTTACAGATCTTGAGTTTTGAGATTTTCTTTATTTTTGATGTTTTTCAGATGATATGATATTGAAAATAGATTAAATGTGTGATATATGAAAATGAATAAGATATGTATGATAACATTTATCTTTTGTAGCTGACTCTTACAGTTAATAATCAATTCATTATCTCTTCTCTTTTCTTATGCTTTTTCTTTATCTGCTAGTCACTACTCTTACATGATCTCTATATAATACAGTGTTCAGTGACTAGATTCAGCAGCTTTCATCTCTTATGATTCTGTCTCACACATTATACTGTCTCTCTTCACTCACTCAGACTACTACAGTGAATAATTCATTAAAACTAACCTTATTTGATCTCTGAGCATTCTCAGAGATTGAGATGACTTGATCTCATATATCTGCAAATGTTTCAGATACTTTATTCTCTGTTATCTCTGTAATTGAACTGATGTAAACAGTTGAATTCAACTCTGAATTTCTTTTTCTTCTGTAATCTGATTTATGTGTAAGTCTGCTGCTCTGATATCATTCTTTACTGCATTGCATCTGCTGTTTGCAGTATATTATCATATAAGTGACTACAGTCTTATTACTTATTAAAGTGTGATGTTCATCTGATTTCTTCATTACTTTCTATTCTTTTCTTATAATTATGAAAAGATTGAAATAAGTAAGATTATCTGATTTATAAGTGTCTATGATTTCTCTTACTTTGTAAGACTTTTCAATTGTAAGTCTCTTCTTTTTCAATACTGATAATAGTGCTATGAATAATTTTAATCTGCTTGAGTCTTACATCTTTGTCTTTATAAAATGTGAATTATTTATTAAGTTATATAAGATTCATCTCTCTGATTCTTTCAATATGTATATTCTCAGAGAATATGATTTAAGTATTTTATATGACTCGAATCATCTAGATTGGAACTTCTCAGAACTCTTATTATGTATGAGAACTTGCATTCTCATCTTGAGACTCAATTTCTTAACTAGTAAGTCTTGTATTCTTTTCAATTGAATTGCTCAGTTCAGAAGTAACTCATTAGCTTTTACATGTATGTGACTGATCTCTTTCAATCTTGATTCTATGTTTATGACTACTGTGTCTGTGACTGTTACATCTGCAACTGTTGTTTTCTTTCTCACCTTTTTCAAAGCATTCTCTGAAATGCACAGATGCAATTCATACAACAGATAGAATAATGAACACTTGAAGACTGTACACTGCTGAATTTGTGTGACTAATAGTGCCTGACTGAGATATTCATCTCATAATCTCATAGGCTTGTTCACTAGATATTTGATCAGCATATTATTCAGGATTTCATTTAAGTGTTTCATCTTTCTGTTTATCTGTGAGTGATATAATATTGTTCTACAATGTCTTATCTGTAACTGGCTCATGAAATGTCTCACTGCTTCTTCTATGAGATTCATATCATTATCAGTTAGAATCTTACATGATATTTCATAGTTGATATAGATCTCATTATATAGAAACTTCATTATTATCTTCTCTATTATCTCTGAAACTGCTTTCACAACTAGCCAGTCAGTAGCATAGTCAATAGCAGTAATTATTCAATGATTTTCATTTGACATTCATGATAATATGTCTATGAGATTCATTTCTTATCATTTAAACAGTTGTATTATATATTTCATCTGATATTATACTTTCTCACATTCTAATCCTTTCTTAGATTCTTTCATGACCTGATAATTCAGACACTCATGAGTGTATGTCTGAATATTCTCAGTCATGCTTGATCAGTATACTCTTGATTTAAGTACACTCATGAGTTCAGAGCTTTCTAAGTGACTGAATTCCTTGTATATATGAGTTATTAAGTCACATCTAAATGAATGTTTCAGATAGAGAGCTTCTACATATTCTAGATCATGATAAAGTATAACATCATTTTTCAATTTTCTCAGTATGAAGTTTGAAAGTATCTCTTCTATCACTTTCATAAGATGCTTATTATCTGACATCTTATCATTCTTTAAGCAAGAGATTATTATATTCACTTATTCTGATTTCTTGCATTCTCTCAGTGTGTTTAATATGAACTTCTCTTATATTTCATTCACAGAATTCTCACTCATGAAATCAGGTCTGTGACTGATTGTATCAGATATCACAGTATCTGATTTCTTTCAGTACTTGATATGAAGATTATACACTTAAAACTCTGAGATTCAACATGCTAAGCATTTAAAAGATTTTATCATCAATTATAGATAGATAAGGCTTTTATAATCTGTGATCATTATTGTTATATACTCATTGTCAATATATCTATCTTACAATGTCAGTGCATGCTTGATTACTAGCAATTTCTTTTCATACACTGAATAATTGAGCTTGATGTCTAATAGTTTTCTATCATTATACATCATCAGATGCAGCTTGTCATTCTTACTCATCTGCAGAAGAGTATCTCTTATAGCTCATTTGAATATGTTCATCTCAATGTAGAAAGGTTTATTACAGTCTGATTGAATAAGCACTAAGAATATTATTATATATTCTCTCAGTGTGAGAAAGACCTCTTCATACACAGCATTTCAGATAATTGAATAAAACTTCTTCTTTTGCAGATTTGTATCTATTTTGCTTAAGAGATCTGAGAGTGATACAGATATTTATATGAAATCCTTGATAAATCTGCAGTAATATAAAACTAACTCAAGAAACTGTTATACATGATATATATTTCTCAGTCATGATTAATTCACTATAACATTCAATTTCTCTGAGATGAGATATATATAGTTATCACTCACTACATATTCTATGAACTTCAACTCTTTCATTTCAAACACACAG